GGCCGCCCGCGGCGCTGCGAGGCGCTGGCCGGGGCGCCGCTCGACACGGCGGCCAAGCAGTACTCGCCCAAGGTGCGGCAGCTCGTGCGCGACATCGCGGGGCTCACGCTGCTCGAGGTGGCCGACCTCAACGAGCTGCTCAAGGTGCGTGCCGGCCCGGCCCGGCTCCATCGGTCCGGTTGGGCTCGACCCGGCCCGGCTCCATCGGTCCGGTTGGGCTCGGCCCGGCCCGGCGCTGAGGCGGCTCTTCCCCCAGGAGACACTGAAGATCCCGGACGTGGCGGTGATGCCGGCGGGGGCGGCCGGCGCCGTGCAGCCCGCGCGGGCGGCCCCGCAGGTACCGGGGGGCAGCGGGGTTCGGGGGCCGCGGCGCCTCCCGCGCGGGCAGGGGCGGCCGGGCCCCTCTGAGCCACAGCCGCCCCCAGGACGAGGAGGAGGAGATGGCGCCGGCCAGGAAGGAGAAGACGCTCTTCACCGTGCGCCTCACGGAGCTCAAGGCGGCCGACAAGGTGAAGCTCATCAAGGAGGTGAAGAACTTCGTGCCGGGAATCAACCTGGTGCAGGTGAGGAGACAGCAGCACCAGCCCCTGCCACGGCCTTTGGAGCCCCTGCTCGTCTTTGGGCCCGAAGTGCCACCCGGTTCCCTCTGTGCTGGGACTATGGCCTGGCTCGGGTCCCTCCGTGCTGGAGCTGCAGCCCAGCCGGGATCCCTCTGTGCTGGGACCACGGCCCAACCAGGGTCCCTCCGTGCTGGAGCTGCAGCCCAGCCCGGGCCCCTCCGTGCTGGGACCACAGCCCAACCAGGGTCCCTCCGTGCTGGAGCTGCAGCCCGGCCCGGGCCCCTCCGTGCTGGGACCACGGCCCAGCCTGGCTCCCTCTGTGCTGGGACTGCAGCCCGGCCTGGGTCCCCCGGTGCTGGCGGCTGCAGCCCGGCCCAGGTCCCTCCGTGCTCCGGGCCGTGGGTGCCACGGGGCCGCAGCTGGGACCAGCTGCAGCGTCGCTGTTGTCTTGCTGCCCGGCCCTCCCTAAAGCCAAGTCTGGCTGCGCTCGGACTCCCGAGCCACAGGAGGCCTGAGGAGGCACAGATGGGGCTCAGGGCAGAGCCCACAAAGTGCCCCATGTCAGAGCCGCTGTGCAGGGGTAAGAGCTGCTCCGAGCCCTGTGCAGGGCTCGAGGGTGCCCGGGACGCCCCGATGCAGCTGGACGCGACCTGCTTGTTCTCGGACAACACCTTCCTGACCGCAGCAGCGATCTCCAGCCCCTTGGGTCCTGTATTCCCTGTTCCCAGTCCCTCTCAGCTCCTGCTTGCAGGCGATGCTCCCTTCCTCAGGAGAGCGGCCCGCTCCTGTCCTTGGTAGTGCTGTTGTGGGCCCAGTGCAGAGCCCAGGTGACTCGGCTGCCCCCACGCAGGCAGTTAAGGAGCTTCCCCTCTGCACTACCTGGTGCTCTCATACCTTAGGGGTAACGGCAGCATTTTCTGCTTATGCAATTTTAAGAAAGAAATGCTAAGCATTGTAAAATCTGCTTTAATTTACAGCACAGAGCATCAGAAGGATTTGCAGAAAATCCTCTGAACCATTCTTATTGGCATAATATAAAGGAAATCATTGAATAGCGGAGAAACTGTGGCATAGACATGAACATTGTTCTTAAAGGTCAGCTGGGATAATTAACTGTTATGTAGTTGGTCTGTCAGTTCTTGATCTATTATCAGTCCCAAGCAAGTATTAAGAAAACAAAATCGCATAACGGGGCCAATCCCTGGATAATTACAAGCTGTCTGGAGAACTAACACTAGATCAACAGGAGTCAGTGGGTGAAACCTGTCAAACAAACTGTTCATGACCTTGATGTGGTGACGCCACGTGATGTGGCGACAAGCTTGTTAGATGCAAATAATTGCCAACAACCCTCCGTAAAGTGTGACCGCTCGTGAGCAGCAGGTTCTCTGCCTTTCCTTGAGAGCAGGAACTCAAGGCGCTGCTCCTCCCTGCCGGCGCAAAGATGCGAGCAAAGACGTGGGAAACACATTCCCACTGGAAAGCCGAGCGGGCGCAGGAGGTGGCTGCCTCCATGGATGTGCAGCACGAGAGCCGCGGTGGCTGCATCCCACGGGATGTGCGCCCATGCAGCAGAGCCCTGCGCATCGCAGCTTTGCCCTGGCCTCGCTGCTCTGTTTGTGCAGAGGTCGGGATAATGGCTTTAAATCTGTTAATCTGGTTAGTGCGAGCTGGTTAGCAGCTCATGCTGTGTCCCTCCTGCAGGCGAAGAAGCTGGTGGAGTCCCTGCCGCAGGAGATCAAGGCGAACGCGCCCAAAGAGGAAGCGGAGAAGATCAAAGCGGCGCTGGAGGCAGCAGGAGGGACCGTGGTCCTGGATTAGAGCCCCCTTCTCCCCGCAAGGGACTCGCGCAGCAGCAGCCGCCGGGGCACCGGCCCCCGAGGCCGCGGACGTTTCTGCGCGTGGGAGCTGCGGGCCAGGGCGCCGAGCGGTGCCACCACGAACTCTGCACTCATAAACGTCAAGTGGGTTGAAGCCTGTGGAGCTCTGTGTGTGGAGCCTCTGTGCCCGTGTCCCCCCAGGGGCCTGCGCACACGGGGCGCAGCTGCCGTGGGGCTCGTGGCCGCTGTGGGGCTCGTGGTGGCCACAGGGCTCGTGGCCGCTGTGGGGCTCGTGGCGGCCATAGGGCTCGTGGACACAATGGGGCTCGTGGCGGCCACAGGGCTCGTGGACACCCTGGGGCTCGTGGTGGCCACAGGGCTCGTGGCCGCTGTGGGGCTCGTGGCGGCCGTGGATCTTGCAGCCACAGCAGGGCTCGTGGACACGCTGGGGCTCGCGGACACCACGGATCCCGGGGCCACCGCGTC